ACACAAAACGCCTGGGTGTGGCCTGACCCTGGGTGCTGCCTGTCCCTGGGGGTTTGGGAGCCGCCCCGCCAGAAGCCGTGTCCCCCGCCACGGGGGAAGGCCGGCGGATGCTCCCCTGCGGGCACCGCTGGCGACAGTGCCGGGGGGCCGGGGGGGAGCGCTAGCCCGGGCAGGATTGTTTTCCACCATCTGGTTGGCTTGGTCGGAGGCAGCTGCTCAGGCAGGGCAGATGGAAGCAGCTCCTGCAGCTCTGCTGCTATTTATGGCGTCGGGAAGAAAAATGGGGTGAAAAAACCGACAAAAAGCAGCCACGCAAAGGGGCCGGTCGGACACCTTCATTTGCAGCCCCTTATGGTCACAGCTGCGCCCTGCTCCGTCTCGCCAGATCCTATCCCCGCGCTGGCCGGGATCGTGCCATGGGGTGCTCCGGGCACTGGGGGCTGGGGGGGAGATGGGTGCAGGGGAGAGCAAGGGGGTGGCCAGGGGCTCCCCCCGATCCCAGGGACAGAGAGAAGGAGCCAGGGGCACACACACAGGGATGTGCCGGGGTTGCGGGAGGTTTGTGCTGGGTGTCCAGCCCAGCCCCGCATTCCCGAGGGCTGGAAACCCGCCCAGGGTCAGGGGCTGGGCTGGGGGCTGCAGCCAAAGCCTCCTGCTGTTCCCCCTCGGTTGTGGGACCCTCCATGCAGGAGCTGAACCCATAGACCCCGTCCCGAGGGTCCCACAACCTGAAGCCCCGGGGACAAAGAGCCCTCGGTCCTGACCCCGGCCCCGAATGCCCCCGGGGCCAGCCAGACTCGCACCCCACCCGTGTGCCGTGGAGCACCATCCGGCACCCAAATACCCCCCCAGCCCCTCCCGGCTTCCAGGCGATGCTGAGCCTCACAGTCCAGCCGGGGCTGATTGCAGGGCTGAGTGTCCAAGGCTGCCAGCTGGGATGCTTTTGCCTCTAATTCTCGTAATCGTTAGCAGAAACCACCGGCACGCGGCTCCGCACGACCCACGGTGGCTCCGGAGCGGGGTACCCCAGGGGTTGGGTGCGGGGGAGCCCCGTGGGGACCCCACACCGGACCCACAGGCTGCAGGATGGAGAGCCCAGAGGGGTTTTCTGCAACGCAACAGCTTTAGGGTCAAAACTGCCCTTTTTTGGCTTTCTCAGCCCCTTGGCACGAGCAATGCTCCTGGCTCAGCTCCGTGATGGGCAGGTGGAAGGCTGGGGCCGGAGCGAGGATCCCCTCAGGTTCCCCACGGCTTTGGGCAAACGATGGGGCACGGTGGGTCCTGGCCGTGGGTTTCGGGGTGGGTGAGGTGTGGGCGGGTGCAACGCTGCCCCGCTCCCTGCTTGCACCCAGTACTCGTGGGTCCATCCGGCTACGACGGTGCCTGGGAGGCAGAGACAGGGATGGAAACACCCCAGGAGAGCTCCCGGGCGGCGGGGCGGTGGGACGCGGGCGAGGGGGCACGGCGAGAGCCCATCCCTGTGCGGGATGCATCTCCCCGCGGTCCCCGGGTGATGAGAAAGGCAGGTGGGGGCGGCCAGCGAGGCCGGGCTCAGCTGCTTCTTGTTACCCTCGGACCCCGGCCAAGAGGGAATAGCAAAGCAGGGAAGGGAAAAAGGAGCCCGGGAGCTGGCAGCTCCCGTCCCGCCCCACCAGCAATTAGGGATGGCCGGAGCCCAACGTAAACGAGCAGGACGGTGTGCCGGCGCATCGGCACGTCCTTCGGTGCTGCCGGGGGCCC